TGTATAAAAAATTGTAATGGAATTGTAAGTTAGTTGGCCGCTCCTCCAAGGACGACTCTGGATAGGTTCACAAAAAAGAAGAATTCTAGATAGGCTATAGCCAATTGACTCTGAGGGACAATTTCACAGTTTATTGACCTGCACAAGAGCATAAAATGGTAAGATAAAGAAGCACATAAAAATAAACACTCAATCGTACAGCCATCTTCCATTGTAAATCTCCCCCAAAAATGGTAAGAATTTTCGTTGAGTGTATTACTTTTATAAAATGCTTTCGACTGTCGCACCACTAAATATTTATATTTCTATTTCAATCACTTATTCACTTATAACTAGGGCTAAAGGACATTAAGAGCCAGTAGATACACTTTGTCAGAATACTCACGCGGATATTTGGAAACGTGTTGTTCGCCTAATACTTTGCCTTCATCGCTTAGCAATGCTTCATCGCTGTAGCGCACGAACAACCAGAAGAGTGCAAGTAAAATTATTTGCACAATCATCAGGCCAATGAATCCTGACGCTTTGCTAGCAGTCGAATGCATCTTGTGTCACAACGGATATGTATGCCAAAAGTAAAAAATACTAAAAAGAATTTGAATCCAAGCAGCGACGCAGTCAAGGGTGCTCAACTTATACAAGCAGAGACGGATTGCCAAGAAGGAAACTGTGTACGTGAACGAAAAAGTTATTTGCGAATAGCTTTGCCACGAAATTGTCAGCTCAATATGAGCGGATGGATGCTTGTATTAAGTAGCAGCATTAGTGGCTCAAAGTGATCTCCATGCCTTCATGCATGCGGCATTCCCCTAAAGGGTGTTCGAGCATACGTTCTTATGCGTTTTGCCAGTTCAATGCGTTTACACTTAGTTAAAGTTAAAAGTTGTTTGACGCGTGCTTTATAAGAAAATCACATAAACTGTATTGATTCAAAAATTTCCAAAAAAAAAAAAATATACTAAAAGTAAACTTTCGAACGTGTTTCGCTTGCTGCGTTGCTTGCCACACTTCCGCACTCAGGTTACACTGAATTCACACTGAATTTTCACAAATCACCGCTAAGTTAGAGCTGTTGAATTTGCTTTTGCACTGCGCGTTGCACAAAATCATTTCCTTTTTAAAACTTTTGCGAACAATTTTGTGATATTTGTAACGCTTATAACGGCTCTGTGGCTACGGTACGTCCGCATGGCCCAACTGCTGGGGAATAAGTATTTGAGAATTTCAATTTTGTGATATACTACAATTGGCGCATATGTGCGAAATTTGACGCTGGCTACTTACTGATTTGATGATCTAGCTAGCGACGACTGCATATGTACATAGGTACCTCCCGCGGCCAGTTAGGGCGGCGTTGGGGGTGGCAGCACCCCAGCAGCAACGGCAAAAATAGTAGCAGTTTTAATGGCGCTGCTGGTGTCAGTAACTTTGGTCGTGGCAGAGGAGGGGGGAGGGAAGAGGCAGCGGCAGAAGTAAGAGTATTCCGATCTCGAGTGGCGATTAGGCGCGATAAGTGTGCGCGATATTGTTCGTTTGTTTGTATGGTAAAAAAAACACCGATATGAACTGATTTTTTCGTTGTTTAAAAATACGAACTGCATGCCTTTGTCGAAGGTACATACATATCAGTAAATAGATTCACATGCATATCTCTTTTCAATTGTCTATAATCACTTTCGTATGTTGTTTATTAAACGCCACTTGGCATTGCAATGGATTAAAAAATTTAAAAGGCAATTTTAATTCTATAGCGAATTTCTTTATTGTCGCTGTGTGCAACCATAGAAATGCATACTTTCTTAAACTATTAGGTATGCACATTAGGGTGGTCCAAAATAAGTAAAGTCGAAATTTTAATGCTCTCACCGCCTAGGATTGTTCTATATCGAAAAAATATATACCCCAAAAAATATTTAGAGGTCGTTTAAGGCGCTCAAAGTTTTCCATGTATTTTATATGGAAAAAACCACTTTTCGTTGAAATGGTATAGAATTCTTGAAAATTAATATTTTTCGATCGGAAAACTCTGGTTATCTTCTGGAGACTTCCAATAACAATCCCCAAATGTTTATTTAACCATTTTTTAATACAAAATATTTTTTATTTGTTCACCCATTGTATTTTCTGTGGGTTTTTCTGGCCCTATTAAATATAGTTACTATGAAAAAAATGGCTAAATAAAGAAGTGAATATTATTATTGGCAATCATCTAAAGAGAAACAGCGGTTTCTGATCGAAAAATATTACTTTTCAAGAATTCTATACCATTTCTACGAAAAATGTTATTTTTCTCATATAAAATACATGGAAAACTTTGAGCGCTTTGAGTGACCTCTAAATATTTTTTGATTTCAAAAAAAGGGCTATATTTTTTCGATATAGAATCCTAGGGGGTGAGAGCACAAAAACTCCGACTTTACTTTTTCACATGCATTTTTGGAGCACCCTAATGTGCATAGATAGAGCTACTTGCACAATGGAACAATTGATTTCATTCTTGTTGTTGCACATTAAGAATTAATGTCGAAATTAGCAGACAATGTCAGTGTATTCAATGCCTTAAATTAAAAATTTAAGAAAATTGCAAAACATTTAAATAACATTAAGTCTAGTGCGGAGTATGCTGAAAACCCTCTTTTGGAAAATCTAAAATATTTATGGTGGTGCCATACTTGTTGGTTAACCCGCCAGCACATTTAGGGCCTCAATCGATTCCTTGTGCTACCACACAGGATCTTTTTCCCTGTTTCCCCAAAGTGAAGTGGCCTGTCCGTAAACCCATATCCAAGGATCTGAGCGCCTCGATCTTTTCGAGTACAATTATGGCCACATGGATTTTGTTATTTTGCAGGTATCAAGGCATGCGGCGACCGTCAAATTTGCTATTCCAGATCCATGTAGTTTTTCTCAGGCTTAGGTAGCTACCATTAAGGAAGCAGTCCATTGTCTGCTCAATTGCTGGTCGTAGGTAAGCGCCAATAATGGCCCTGGTGTTGCTTACGGCGCGCTCCAAGCAAGTAGGGGAATGCCTAACCTCTCTTTCAGTTGACTCTGAATTTTTTTCTAATCAGACTTATATGGACATGAGGACATTATGTTGTTGCTGGGAATGTGTTGCTTGTTGCTGTGTTGTGGATGAGTAGGCTAGAAACGACGGCCTCGATTTGGTTGCACCGCTAATATCGATTTAACTTCTTTTAAAAAAGTTATCTAAAAAAGTTCTGGCAACACTGCTATTGGTACTGGTGATATCACAAGGTAACTGCTGAGCTAAAGCAACAAGGCGTTCAGACGGTAGCCACACAAAAGGTGAGCAGGTTAAGAGAAAATCCGTTGTGGTACTTCGATCCGATTACTCAATGTCAGGTTAACACCCAATTCAGGTTATACATCTTTATCGACTCCCTGTTAAATATGCTGTGGAGTCGATCACGAACTCGAAAGTACTCAGAACTTAAAAAAAACTTGAAAGTAGTCAGAGCTCAAAAATACTCTGTTCAAATCATCACTTTGACACATGTATGTACTCAGGACCGGTTCAAAGTACTTAGCATTAAGTGTTAAATAGATACTTAAGAGTACTGAGTTCTATTTCCATTAAGCGGAATTCAGAAATGATTGTACTCAGTTTCAAGTTTCAAAAATGTTCGAGTAAAATACTTGTACCCACTACAGTTAGCCATTCATTTGACGTCGTTTGAGATTAATATATTAATTTGAATAAAATGCTGCCAGCTTGTGAAATTTCCACACTGCTTTTTTTTGCATTGAAACGTTACCAACATGTGTATACATATTTAAAGACAGTACTCAGTACTCTCGAAAATACCTGATTTTTAAAATGTATCGATATCAAAGAACTCGATCCTCAAAAGTACTCGATACTTCCCAAAACTACTCATAACTAATTACGGAGGTAAAAATATACTTTCTAGGTATTCAAAATATTTTTAAAACGCTTCAATATTTACATATCTATTTCCTAATATTTATTAAAAAAAGCCAACATAACTGGCCATATGGATACGGCTTCCAGCTGGTTAAATGAATAATATGCACTTGTGTTTACTCAATTTTATTTGAAAGCAATATTTTGAAGTTTTCAATACCGCGCGAATAAGTCTAAATGGTCAATTAGGAAATATCACTAGATACGCTCGGCTCTAAAATACTTTTAGCACTTATTTGTGCATTAAATTAATACTAATCTTTTTACACACATACATACATACATATGTATGTAGCCATATGTCAGTAAGAAAACATGTTTATTTAAGATGTTCTAGTAAAGATGTTGCTAACTCTAGTTTTTAACACATTTTAGATATATTATGATAAACTAAGCTGAATGTGAAAATGCTAAGCAGATAATTTCACACACTTGGAGCAAATTTTGAGAAAAACAAAGTGCTGTTTTCGTTACCTACAAAAATAAGTAGAAATGGATTAGCAAAATACAAAATTTTCTCCAATCAGTAGAGCGTGTTTAATTATTTATTTCTAAAATAAAAGCGCTCGCAGCAAAAGAATTTGCTCTTTCATTAATTCTTATACTTACTACACATTTCAACGCACATTTTGTTAAAGAACACTCAATACACTGCAATGTGGTAGCTAAATGGGCAAAACATTTCACTCATTCTTTGGTTTAGACTGATTTTAAATAAGTTTCAAATTTACGAAAATTTTTGGTTCGGTGCGACTTTGGACTCAAGGAGCTTGAAATTTTACATGTTTTCAAATTTTTATAGTCTTAATTCCATGCGCAAGTAGGGATGGCAAAAAAATGTAATAATCGATTAATTAATCATATAATTAATCACAAGCCAAAAAAATTAATTAATCGAGTTTTTAATGGCACTTTTTACAGTGAGTATTCACAAAAACACTTTTTCATAAAAATTTCTAATTATCTTGTTAATTATCCTTAAAAAAATAAAACGAGTATATTTAGCGGTGATAATTAATTATTACTAGCAAATAGCCGCCGTGCATCACTGCGCCTTAAAAGTGTTTTGTGCTGTTTGATACTCGTAATGTAAATTTCATTTATTATAACAATTTAAATTAATACAATTTTTCAAATAGGTGGAAAGCCTCCTCAAAAATATTTTCGGCAGTAAACTTTCCTAAACCTCTTCAGTTTGATACACATATTGCTATATTCAGTTTATCTTATCAATTAAACTGAATTAAAATTTTTAAACATATGGCAACCTTCAGCAAATATATTTTCGGCTGTAAGCCTTGCAATACTTACTTTGCTCGCCAGTTTACTTAAACTGCAATTTTCAAACAGGTGGAAACTATCGAATTTTTTTCTTTATATTTTTTAAGTTAGACCTCTATCAATGCATCGGTGAAAACTGCATTAAATTTCATAGACAAATAGATACAAATTCTTAAAACTGTTTATTTGGCTTCTGTTGCTCAAATGCATAATCGATTAATGAAACACAAAACCACGATGCAATTAAATCGTAAATTAGACAAAAATAATCGATTAATTTAATCAAATGATTAATCGCTGCCATCTCTATGCGAAAGCGTATAACTTGAAAATGTATGCGTACAAGTTTCTTTGCCTATTTAAGCCTAAATGCCAACGATTTATGTCTGCTTTAAGTTATATCTTCAAACGAGAAATCGGCTTAAGTGATGCGCTGGTGTCAAGCCTCTTAGTTATTGTACATATATATGTACATATATTGACGACATGTTGCCATTCGCATTTGGGATTAACGTCGACAGATGCCAATTTTCGCTGTGATTAGTTAGGCAAAAGCTCCAGAGTAACTTATGAAAGCCAGCAAAAGGCGAGTAGCGATGCGGCTTGAAGTTGTATGCATGTAGAAGTGAACTTGCTGATGCGGCAACTGGTTACAAACTAGTGCAGTTGGAAATGAAAAGAAAATTATTTTTCGATTTTTTTTCGTAAATAAAATTAGATAACTATTTATATAAATTAAAGTTTGAAAATTTTGTATAAGCTGCACCAATGAGAATTTTAACCCTTTCACGACCGTAAGCTTACAATTAAAAATATACACCTCGAAATGATTTTTTTCCCACATAAAATTTTTTTTTCTGTTCCGCTAATTTTTTCTGCTTTTGGTCAATTTTCTTACTAAAAAAAAATATTTTCTAAAAATTACTTCCATTACCGATTTTTTTAAATTTTTGTTTCTTAAAGTTTTTTTTTGAAAAAATTAGGGTTTTTTTTGGGTGATAATCAATCGTTTTGTTTTGAAAATCTTCAAACAGAGTTTATTTATATTTGCTAACCTTTGAAAAAAAGTAAGGCCACAACTGGATCAATTTTACCCACATTTTAACTAATTACTAAACTTTAGTGGTAGTTTGTAATATCACATGTGGTAATCATGACGTTCATTCACAAAGCGTTGCATAATTTTTGGCGAACTAATCGATAACAGACAAAGCGGAGACTTGCCGTTGGCGCTACCATATGGCGATATTTTCGATCGTACTGTACCGCAAAGTTTTTACAGTGATGCCTTACAGCGCTGCTGAAACTAAAAACAAATTTACATAGATGTATATGTATGTACAATAGGGTGGTTCAAAAACAGTAAAGTCGGGAATTGTAATGCTCTCACCCCCTAGGATTGTTTTATATCGGAAAAAAGTTTACCCCTATTTTTTTTATTTCGAAATCAAAAAATATTTAGTGGTCGCTCAAAGCGCTCAAAGTTTTCCATGTATTTTTATATGGGACAAATCAAATTTTTCGTAAGTATCAGCTTTCTCAGTTGAAAGGTCTGCGGCTTCTTTTCTTTTTCCAAATTCTGATTTTTCGCTGAATGGTAGACGTGGACGACCAATAATTGGAGTTGCTTTTTTTGAAGTCGCATCTATCACAATCTTCAATAGAATTCTTGAAAATCATTATTTTTCGATCAGGAAACTCTGGTTCTCTTCGGGAGGCTTTTAATAATAATACCCAATTATTTATTAAAACATTTTTTAATACTAACGACCTAATCTATTAAACCTATTTTCGTAATTTGGCAAACACAAAATTGATTTTAGATCCATCGCTTCTTCGGAATATTTGCTTAGGATTAAATGTATAATCCCCCAATGCCGACTATAAACATCTTAAAATCTTTGCAGTTATGTCAAGATAAACTTTTTGCTGTCGCAAGCCAGCACCACCTGAGGAGTCGACAAACAGAGGTGATTGGCTCGGTCGATGGCATTCCATGCAGAGCCTGTGGGGGGTATGAACTAGCAAATACGGCTACAGGATATCATCTAATGTCATCCGAACACTACCTCCACGTAGAAAGTCAGGTGCTGGCGGTGAAAGAGCACAACGATTTGACATCGAAGCAGTTGCACGTGGCATGGCACCGTGGGAGCCATCCTAGCAACGCTCTACTTCGAAATACTCGCTCCCCGATACGTGAAGAGGAACCTGTTGCACTGAAGAAGGAATAAAGAACCAAGCGTAGACCTTCCCCGTAGACAATGCGGGGCACAAAGCAAACTCCGTGCCAGCAGGTCGATTGTCGCCCACCAGCAATAAGGAAACATTGCTGCCAAGAGAGACCCTGTGCCCTCTAACACAGCGCCGTTTCTGTTGGTGACACAGGCTCAACATCTAATTTTCTCAGCTGAGACCAGAAGTGGCAAACGGCAGAAGTGCCCAGTGGACATACTTATAAGAGTTAGGTTTGAAAGCTGCATTATTGATTTGATACTTCTGACTCTAGCATAATTCACAAGGACTAAACCAAATATTCGGTAACTATTTGGAAGTACTCGGCCATTTCGCTGTAGGCTCTTTCATCTTTTGTGGCAAAATCCTCTTCAGTCGCGACTAGTCGTGAAGTGAATAGAGCGACGTAGCTTTATTCATTTCGATATCAGCCTAGAAAAAATTTAGAGGAAATTAGGTGGCCGGCATCACAAAACTCCAGCTTTACGTGACAAATTAATTTTTTTGCAGTCGGTGCCTGTGACCTGAGAAGGCGTGAGAGAGAAGGGAAGGAATGTGAGGAAACCGTACCGGCCATTACAGGGGTGGGAGAAGATATGCGAGGAACGAGGCTTAGTGTGTCCGCTGCCTATAATTGATCGTTCCTAAGAACTTTATAGAGAATTAGGACTTAAGGGAAATGTAAACATGATTATTGGTTGGTCTTTTCAGTAGGCATTCCTTGTCTTCTTTTATTACACGAGAGTACCTCGAGTTGAAGCGTTCGTATTTATTCGTTTAACATGACCAAGCTAATGGAGCCCCTGTATTTCAATTCACTGCACTACGACGATATCATTATAAAGCTAATACTGGTGATTGATTTATAGAGTATGGGTTTTCTCCGTCAAGATAGGACTTCCTTTCCCAATTTCCTACTCAGTCCAAAGTAGCTCTTGTCCTAAAGAGTGATTCTGCGGCGATGCAAATCGAAAAATTGAATTCCAGTGCATATTTAGCATATTCATTATGGTGGTCCTCAAAATATCAACATCAATTTATTAAGAACGAAGTACACGAAAATTTCAAAGCTATAAAAAAAAATTTACGGGTTTAATATTAGATTTTTTTAAATTGCAAAAATTCGAGAAAAATTTTGGCATCGGTCAGCTTTAGCTCAGTGAGATTATGAGTTTATATGAATAAGTTTCAATGATATGTAAATTTTATCGGAATATAATTTTTAGGATTTAAAAAAATAATTAAATATTTTTTTTGAAATTTTCGTGGGTGTCTTTATTTTGCACATAAAACAAATGTACCGCATACAAAATTTAGATGTTGATATTTTAAGCACACTCTAATATTCATAACATAAATTATACGACAATAACAATTTCATTGTAAAATACAAACATCTGTTTCGATCTTTGTTCAAAAATTTGAAGTATATTTTATAAAAAAAAAATCGTTTTAATCAATTTAAATGCTAAGCTGTGCGCCCGGAGTATGTCAGGATACTACCTCCTTTCCAAAACATTGTTGCAACCGGCTAAAGCAAAAGCAAATTAACAAACAAATAAATAAAACAACTTGTTTGTAGATAACTGTGTTGTGCTTCTTTGCGTATGTAAGTATATACATATGTATGTATACAGTCATGCGAGTATTTTGTTACATTTTGGTCAAGTTAAGTACAATAGACAGGACTTTGCTACTTTGAAAGTTTTCGAGATGCGTTTATTAATTAAATGGCAAGTGGTGTAAAAGGCAAAAGTGCTGCAGCAGAGAAAAGGAGCCCGAAAGGAATAAACAAGCTGCAAAGTAACAATACAATAATACCAGCAGAGGTTGAAGTAAAAGAAAAGTTTTTAATTAACAAAAATAGCAAAACAAAAAAAAAAAATAATAAAAAATTTTAAAAAGTTAAAAACATTTTTCCAAAGTTAAACTGCAATGTAGAAATATTAAAAATAGGTAATGAAAGTACATTATCGAGATAAGCAGCCGCAATAAAGGGGAAAAGTTACGAAGAACCAGATGAGCAAGGTGAAAGGCTTCGAAGGAAGATAGAGAGGGGAGTAGACAATAGCTAAATGAAATAACAATGGTGTGTATTAGGGTGATTGATTCGGTTTTTCCAAACCGGTTTGAACCGTTTTTTTTTTTAAATTAAGTCGATTTTTTTGAAATCTTAATTTTTCAAATTCCGAGTAAACCGGATTTTTATAATCGCATAAACCGGGTTTGTCACCTAGTTTATTTACATACATAGAACATAGAAGATTTTGAATAATTTTATAACTAAATACTAGACAAATTTGCACTGCAGAAAATTACTTAAAGAATTAAGGAAAACCGATTAGAAGATTACTTAACTTTGTCTAAATTAGTGAATCGACTGCATGTGGTTTAGCTGATGGGGGATTGGGCATATAGAGAGATGATTAGTGTAGTCGAGACATCTTATTCAAGTTAAAAAAAAAGTTGCGGCACTGTTTTTCCATCGGAATTATAAAATCTATGGTATTTAAGGATTTCGGCCAAAATTATTCGGAAAAATATTCAGATTTACGTGAGCTGGTGCGATTCGAAAATACCTGAAATAAGCTCTTTACATGTTTTGCTTCCGTTGATAGTATATTTAAAGATTTTTACGTAGGCTTTATAAGCTTAAGCATTTCTATCATCTGTGGTGATTTTTTTTGGAATAAAGATTTTTTAAAATTATTTTATTTATAAATAATTGGGGTTTTCTTATCCTTTAATCGGTCCACTTCACGTGAATCTCAATATTTTTCGGCATTTTTTGGCGAATATCTTTAAGTATAACAAGTTTTATAAGTCTTATGGAAAAACAGTTCCGATATTTGTGTTTTGTTTTTTTGGTATGGAGAGTGATGCACCCTAATGTTCAAAAGCACGTATGTTATGTTAAGAAATTAGTATACTACTACAATGCTTTCCCATATGTATATGATTGTACAGAAAGAGCAACTGATTTTGTAAACAAAGGGAGTAGTAATTGAAAATGGAGTAAAGGACGTTGCAAAGGTAAATCTGTGTTTTAAAGGAAACCATTTAAATAAACAAAAACAAAGTACATTAAAGAATTGTGAAATTCTATGAAATAGACATACACACGTGCGTTTAGATCTAGAAAGATCGTTTTATTTTAAGAACTTAAATGAAGTATACAAAAATTTAATTAACTTAAAGTGGATACTGTTGATACGTTTTCGCTGCTGTTGTTGTTCTGATTAGTTATTACTATTGTCATTGCTAATGTTTTATTTTCTCAATGCAAATGTTGCATCCATTAAGTAAATGTTTTTATGCGCCAATTGCTAAGAAAAGAACATACACAGGGTAAAATAAATGCAACATTAATACTAGAAAAGAAAAACGCCATAAGATTAATTTATTGCTTATTCATATTATTATATAATTGAGGCAGCTGTGAAGTTACTCCGTTCGTCCTGAGTAGGTTTGTTTTTCACACAATGCATTGTTAGCATTTTAGGTACTTAGTTTTTTGTAATGATCGGCATTTGTGTTGTATTTCGCTAAACAAATTATGTATTTATAAATTTTTTTCTTTAAACTTCATTTTGCTTTGCTGGTGTGTAGGTGTTCGTTTCCTGTACTGACTTGGCTAGTATAAAACGATTCAATGCTAAATAGAGTGCTCCGCCAAGTACAAGCTCACCAATGCCTATAAGTACGGCCAGTAGCCAACCAGGAATAGCGAGGCCAGCTGCAAAGTAAGAAAAAGAAGTAATTTATTAAATAAATCCATATGTAATTTGAAGACTTGGTTTGCAAACAAGATTTTAAAACAGAGTTGCTATACCAAGAACAGGATGTAGGAAACAGGGTTTAATTAGTTTGCATTTTATATTTTATTTTTTTTAAGGTAAAAATCAAAATTAATGCTTGCAAGAAATTTTTTTGTGCAGAAAGAGATCAGTATTTTTTTTGCTTTTTATTTTTTAGGTATTAAAAAAAGCAAACTTGAGATTTTAATGTTTTTTTTTTTTAACCTGAAAGTTCACGAAATATCTGACACAAACTCTGAAAAGTCTCGAAAAATCCTGAAAAATACAAATTATACTGAAAGTCCAAAAAAAATCTGACTATGGTGCAGGTTCTTCAGATTAACGTGCAACAGTACAAAAGCAGCCTCGGTTACTCTCCCTATTTGCCTAAGCGAAAAAGCTAAGTACAACATTTTGGTTTAAGAGCCTCGCATCGTCAGAAACAGGGTTTTCGGACTAGACTCTGATGCCTGCCAGACGGTACCAACATCAGTATTTAGCAGATAGGATCAGAATTTGCACTCTTATTAAAAAGACATATGCTCTTATTTTGTATTCTTACAATTTAGTGGCAGAGACACTGTTAACAGAGGCGAACTCTCTATAGCTGATAACGATCTACATGAAACACGTCTGCACAGTTTTTCCACCCAACCGACTTAAAAGCTATAAAAAATACTAATAAAAAGAACCTCTTGGTTTTAGGAGACTTGAGGTATGCTAGGGCTAGACTCTAACTCCCATCGTAAACTAACGCTCAAACGACACCAACTTCCGAGGTAGGTGCTTGCTTGATTTTATTTAAGCTTATGATCATACTAAAAGCAATTGTGGACACATTCCTACTATTGTTACATTTGCCACGAAGAATATGCTGGACAGTTGTTCTGAACAGGTAATGGATTGACACCCGAAGAAGGGCAAAAAAACCTCACTGCTGGGAGCCGGAGATTTGAGCACTGAAGGCAAATAAGCCTAGATAACAGGTAGCAACCTTATAAGGATGTCCTCAAAATATGTAAGACGGCCATAAAGCAACTCCAACGCGGATCTTGGCGTAACTTCTGCAACCACGGTGACTGGACATCATCGCATAGCAAAGTTCTGAGGCCATTCGTCCCTTAGGTCGCTTCATTAGACACCTCGTAAGCCATAACAGGCTGGGGTTGGCTATAATGTCCTTCCGAAGTTATAAATATCCGGGAATGGATACAATTTTTCCCGTCCAACAGTAAGCAGCAAAGGACGTACTATGCCGGATAAACATCTGAAAGTTTACATAGAGCGAGTTACTAGAAACTACGGAGAGTCTTGAAACCCGCGCCAGGAGGGCTATATGTAAAAACGGGAAATGCGACTATATGTAAAAACGGGAAATGCGAAAGTATATCATGTATGGCGTATCCTGTTCTACGAATCACCGTTTGGTGGCCAAGACTAAGCCCAGAGCCAAGATGGAACGCGTACAGCTTGTCACAAAAGCCCTTACTTTGGCCCCTACCAAAGCTGAGAAATTAATTTTTAACTTGCCAGCGGTAGACAAAAGTATGCGCAGTGAATTCTGGCCAGGAAGATGGCATACATACTACCGCTAGTCACTTGTCAAACTAGTACATGGCATATCTGGGAAAATGTCGATGAAAAGCGATTATGGACCCACATGCTAAGAGATTAAGATGTATCACCAATGATTTTTGCCGCAGCTACGCAGAAGAGGAAAATGTAGAGCGTATTGAAACTATTTCTGCCAGTGTACTAAGGGTTTTTAGCTGGCTAAATTCTGCGAATATTTTTGATCTCGCGCTGAAACGGACCGCTTTTTAACCGACTTTAAAAAAGGAGGAGGTTATCAATTCGTCGGAATATTTTTTAATTTTATATTTTTTTATGTATGTTACCGCTTAACTTTGGACCACGTCAACCGATCTCGAAAATTCTTTTTGCATCGGAAAGGTAGTGTCTCAGAGATGGTCCCATACTAATCCAATCCATTTAGATCCGATCACTGGATAATGAAAAAGTTAACGGTACTCCAAAATTTTTATATGAGAATTGAAGTTGGTTTTGTTTTTTGCTTAAAAATTACTTGTTTTAATAGGTGGTTATTAGTTATTTTAAGCAAAATCATGAATATTGATGTTTTGATTGGCGAAGTTTTTTCTGGATCTACTCTTTGGGATAAAAAAAAATTAGCAATTTTATTTCGTTTTACATTTATTGGATGAATTCCAATTTTTTCTTCTTGAAAAAACTTTGAATACAGAGCTTGATGCTAAATATTGTTTCATTTCTTTAAATAACACTTGCATGAGCAGGAATAAAACTACAAAATTACTAATCTTGATTAGCGCCGATCGGAATCAGCTTTACGATCAGCTCGGCTTTCAGATTGGAACGTAAAAGTTACTGGTTAAACAAAAGCTGTTAAAATAATATTCCTCTGAACATTTTTACTATAAAAATATATACAAAAAAATTTTATTTTATTTTTTTATTACTTAGATACTTACTAAAATAGCGACGTGTAAGTGTTCTACGTCCGCGCATCACACGTCTAGTCGCTTCCGATTCCTGTGTGCAGAAGGCAAGCAATACTGGAAAAATAAAAAATGTTTAAAATGAATACAAAAATTAGAAAAAAATTTACATATCGTGCCCTAACCGTCAAAAATATATAAGCGAAACATTTTCCAAAATTTTCTTTAGGATGTAGATATGCTCCTAGAGCATCGAAATGCATTTTTACATCGAAAAGGAAATTTTGGAAAAAATGTCGCTTATGTTTTTTTCGGTGATAAGAGCTCTTCCTCCGGATCCGACATTTTTCATATAATACATTTAAAATTTTCGATGGAAAAACCCTATCGATGTTTTTTTTTGTATGAATAGTGATTACCCTAATGTACATGTGTATATGCATTTTAATGGCAAATAAAATTTATTTGAGCAAAAGCAAAAGAAAAAATGAAATTAATCTCCCCGCATATGAGTGCCATACTCTACGTCGTAAATTCTATTTTAGTTACCTAATCCGGACAGATATAAATTTTGAAACTTCATTACTGCCTGCAACTAACATTGCATAAATTTTTTCGTATTTGATTTTACATACTACTTTCTAGTTTATAATGCTTTCCCACTTGTTATTTGTTTTATATGAAATTTACATGCGAAAAAAATATAGAATACATATACATATCTACCTACATTTGTACATTGNAAAAAAAAAAATGGAACGCACAAAATATACATACCTTATGCAAAAGATAGAAACTACGCAAAAAAAAAAAATGTACGAAAAATGTAGCGGAACTCAATAAATAAAAACATTTTTGTTTGTTTTTGCAGCTAACCAAAAAGTGCAATAAAACGCCAAAACAGTTCATCATCATCAGTGTCACTATCAACGTCGGGCCCCTTCCGTGCCTACAACATCCGTTACCGTGTTGTGTAACTCGTATTTATGTATGTATGTACATATGTAGCACGACACCTACAATAAGAACAATGCGTGTACAAGCGAAGCCACATCCATGCCACAGTGAGTGCCAAAGAATATGTATGTACAGGTGATGTGGTGGTCAATATTCGTACATACTGTATTGTGGCTGGCCAACAAGCGGCCCAGGTGAATATGCGTTGCAACGCCCATAAAAATTGGCTAACTCTTTGTGTTGGCTTCCGTCGCCGCCACCTTCACCTATCGAAGGGATGCAACTGTGGTAGGTCGGGGAGTACGGGTGGTAAGCGGTTTTTCTTTTTTGAGCTTCGAATATACATATATGCACATATGTATGTTGTATGTTTGTATATATGCTTGTATGTAGTAAATTTCATAGTTCTATTTTGCTATTCTATCCGAGCATATGCAACAGGGTATTTCATTTTAATTTATGTGAAAATCAAAGCTTTGTTGTTGTCGCTTCAATCACATCACCAACACTTTAAGCCTGCATATTCACATGAATTTGAATGCATTTGCGTGGATATGAATGCACTTGTGTGTGTGTGTGCTTCTGTTTTGCTCCACTGCTAACATGTAGTACTTACTTACATACATAAGTCTTTCACTGTAGTTTTGAAATAAATGGCTATTAAATATGGAAATCTTAAAATGGACCCAAAGCTAGGGGGAAAATAAATATAGTTGTTGGTTCTTTTTTTGCTGCATACTTTTCAGTTTTCGAATTCATGTGTAGTAGTGCCATAAAATGAGACAAAAAAATGTCTAACGACTCTCTAAATTAAACAGTTCAGGTTGGGTTTGGTCGATTTCCAGGGTACTTGCCTTTAACCCAAGGCGGATATTGCTGAGTTTTTTAAGAATACTAAAACTAATGCGATGGTTACAGAAAGTGATAAATCGTAAGGAGAAACATTGCTTTCTGGCTGCATAATCTGC